AAATTGTAGACTTGATAATTGCAGAATTATGATGAGGAAAAGGGCATATATGTCTTTGTCGTAATTTATCAATACCGTATCTTCATTTTTTATTAAATTGAGAGGTTCCAATCCACCAGTTAGTCTGAAGAAAAAAATTAAAAGTGGTTATTTTCTCTCAAAAGGTAGAACAAAAACTAGCCAGCTATGAAATACATATAAAAACGGTTACAAAGTATATGTATTTTATCTACTTAAAGAAAATGCTGTATAATACTGTGATGGTTACTAATGTTTTTAGCTACTTTTAGAATTTCAAGTGTCCTTGATATTTTAGCATATAGCAACTTATTTTCAGAATCTTTAAAATGTAGTTTAGAACTTTGTACATTTTAATGACTCCCATGTTTACTGAAATTAGCAATGAAATCTAAAACCAAAGTTACTCTTCCTTGCTTAATCAAAAAGAATTCTTACATGAGAAAATATTGGTGATTGCCAGGGGCTGAGAGGAGTGGAGAATGGAGAGTTATGTTTAATGGGTATAGAGTTTCAGTTTTATAAGATGAAGAGTTATGGGGACGGATGGTGGTGATGGGTGCACAACAATGTGAATGTATTTAACATCACTGAACTGTACACTTAAAAATGGTTAAGATGGTGAATTTTATGTTATGTGTATTTTTCCACAAGAAAAAAAGAGAAAATATTAAGTGGCTAATTTAAAAGGAAGTATTTAGGAGATGGTTACTGAGAGTCAAGCATTAGAAAAAAGATGAAGGATTTTTATTATGCAAAATACTTTTTGAGTGGCATGAGGTTTTACCATATGTTCAGTTTTATAATTTTAATTTACAAGTAGATGCTTCTAGAAAAAAAGTGCTGTTTTCTTCTGCACATCTTTACACATTTCTAGAACTGAGTTCTGAATTGAAGTAAGAAATAATTTTTAAATTCTTTGCATTAAGTGGTTTTTGGTGAAAAATGGGCTGAGTAAAACTGAGTAAATCCACAACTACCCAAAATGTGACTATCAGCTAAGCAATTGACTTGTTTCCAAGCATCCTATAGGAAAGGAACAAATGACTGGTTGACTAATATTCTATTAATGCAAATGAAATGGCGAAAGCAAAAAAACCAAACCACTCAATATTAAAAAATTATTTTGTATTTTCAGAAACTGAAATTTTTTTCAAAGTGAAAATTTCTCTTTTCTATCACTAATGTAAAACTTTCTGCCAAATGGCAACAAATGCCATGAATGTAAGTTTGTTCAAATATAACTTAAAATATATAGCTCATTTTTATGCTTAAAATAGGTTCCATTAAGTAATTGTATTATGAAATATCTTAAAGTTACCTCAACTCTTACAGCATAACAGTTATGTCTATTCACTATATCTGATTTGTAAGGGCTACTCTGAGTTCATTTTGGGAGAATAGTGAAATAAATCCCCAAAGACCCCTTTCATATGCATTAAGATGGAAAATCCTATGGGATTACATCCATGTTTGCTTTCTAAATTATACCAAAAGCTCAATTTTATTAAGTATAATCTGCCTAGCCATGCATAAAATAAAATACTTTGGTTTAGATGTGATTGTATGTATTATTTATATTGACTTTGTTATAAAAATATTTTTTCTATACATGTACCAATATGTTCTGCTTAATATTGGTTACTATAATAAAAGATAGTATAGTAACATTCCTAAATGCTTTTCTGAGGCCATCTAATAGTGTATATTGATACTAATAATAATTTTGTAATTTATTTTAGTTGGTTCTAAAGAAGGAGCTACTTATGGATAGGACCAATCTTTACTCCTATTTATTTTAAATTGTTAAGAAAATAGACCTTCATGTTGGGGTAACATTACACATTTTTACATGGCAATAATTTAAAGTTATATCAGATTCTGGGCTTAAAAAAACCATTATTGTCATTTTAATTGAGTTATAAAATGGTTTATATTCAAGACTCTATGTTCAAGAATCTTGAAGGGTTGCAGTCATATTAATGCAGAATTTCAGTTTCTTTTAGCCTAAAGCATCATTTTAACATTTTCTGAAAGGTTGTTCAGTTCTACATTTTGATTCCATTATATGTGTAATTAAACCTCTATGCACAAAACCATTCTCCTATGTACTAGCAAATACACCCACAGGAATCCTCCTCTAAACTATAATTTATTTAAAGATGTAATCACAGGATTTTAAAACATGCTTTCATTTTTCCAAACTATATGGCAATTTGAACTGCTTGGTGATAAAATGAGAGACTTTATTACCATTTCGATTTCTTTTCCCCCCTGTGATCTAACAGTGAGTTAAACATGGGCAGGAGGAAATAAAGAAAATCTATTGTGAACCTAATTCCATGTGTTAAACTGTTTCCCTTTTCTAGAAAATAGAAGAGAATCAAAGGTTTGAAGTTATTTATAAATTCCAGCACAATATGAATATTGGGGCCTGCAGCATGCTTTCCTTGAGCTTGGCCTAAGTAGTATATAGCTAGAATAGCTAGTTGTGTGTGTGTGTGTGTGTGTATGTGTGTGTGTGCTTGTGTTATCCTCCTGAACGTTGTGGAGTCAGGCCCCCTACTGACAGGATCAGTCAATTACAGACATTGACGGTTCTACTGAGACTTCGTTCCAACAAGAATCTGGTTGGCCCACAGGACTCGGGAGTTTTGAGCGTGGTCTTTCTATTCACTTTCTGAATGCCTATGCTGGATCCTTTCCACCCCGAGAGCACATCCGAGCCCTACCCAAAACGCCAACCCAAGAAGTAGCTTATCCAATAATTGGTTTAAGTGAGTGTATTAGTCTTGCATCCAGTGTGTCTGCCTAAGAAGAACCGCTTCCCAGGAACTGGAATAGGAATTTGAAGAGGGGAGAGAGAACTCATACGGATTGCAGAATAGAAGGAAAAAAGTCCACCTTTTCTTTCATTTTAACGTTATATTTAATCACTCCATTCCCAGTTACTAATAATTATTATAATAAGCTGCTTTGAAAACTGCCTCTCAGTCCTGGGTGCATTAACACTTGGGCAAAGGCTCTGTTATGAAGAAGCCAGACTCGACAGGTTGCTGCTATAGAATAATGCATCACATTACAGTTTGTCTTCCTGGGAGCTCACTTTAAGAACTGCAGAACACTTTTCCACTCTCTGGGAGAGAATTCTCAAGTTGTCCCCCGACTCAACCCAGGCTAAATGCAAGTGTTTTTTTAATAGCAATAAGGGAGGAGGAGCGTGTGGAGGGAATGTATCTACTTAGATGTGCGTATTTGTGTATAGAGGGTGATGGTTACAGCCTTCAAGTTCGCCCAGCCCCCGCTTTCCTAGGAATGTATTAAAAAACGATAACTGCCACCCCAGCGTGGCTGCGCTTGAGTTTCTGGCTGCCTGAAAATAGCTGCCTGAAGCCTGGCCCACCGCTGGGATCAAGGAAAGCTCCCCCTGGCCGCGCCCTGCTCCCTCGCGGAAGGGGAAGGGAACCCGGGAGGGCGCCGCCGAGCTAGAGCGGCTGCTATTTTGGTCCCAGCCCGGCGGGTGCGTCAATGCCTGCGCCCCTGCGTCACCGCCACCCCCACCCCTTTCCTTCTCCCCTGCTCTCCAAACTCTCACTTTTTCCCTTTCGTTCGCGGGGAATCGCTTCTGCCCACGGGGCTCTGACGCTACAGCACTCATGCTAATAAGCTATTCTTCGCCATCCCTCCTCCTCTCCCTACTCACACAGCCTCACCCGCCGCCACAACCCCCTCCCCCCACAAACAGATTCACACACACACACACACACACACACACACACACACACACTTCCTGGTTTTATTTTTTTCTCGCACCCGCTAGGGCACCGCTGAACCGCAGCGGCGCGGCAGCAGCAGCGGCAGTCCCAACATCTGGGGGAAACTTAAGGTGGTCACGTAGGTTTTCCTGAGGCTGCGGCGCAGAAGAGCCTGCGGCTTCCCGGGGCAGCCGCAGGGCACCTGATGGCTACGCCTCTCCAGCCGCTGGGGAGCTGAGCTGGAGGCGGCGGGGAGCGGGCAAAGGCGGGGGTGCAGATTAGAGCTGAGCCGCTCCGGAACGCGCATAGTTCCACGGCGCTTTCGGCCCATACTGGGAACGCCAGGATTGGGGGAGCTGCAAACCGGCCCCCCGCAGCCTGGAAGAGAGCCACGCCGAGGGAGGAGGGGCGGCTGGAACTCTTCGCGGGCAGAGAAGGGGGACGCCTCCGAACCCTCCCTCCCCTCGTCCCAGCCTCTTTCAGCCCCCCCTTGCCAGAAGCCCTCAGAGGCCGGCCCGGCTCGGGTAGAGGGACCGGGAAGGGGGCTCGCTCTCGGGAGAAGTGGCGTTTGCTTTGCTAGAAAGCGCCTTGCGCCCTCAATGTGGCGGGTGGATTGACTTGCAAAGCGGAGTCGGCAGCGACTCGGACGGCCGCGGGGATGCGGCACGCTCCCCCAGCCCACCGGGGCCCCTCTCCTGGGAGGGCTGGACGCACACACTTCACGCTTCGCGTAGATATCCGCTCCCCCCCAACCCCTCGTCCTCTCCCCATGTTTTGTCTTTCACTCTTAGCTCTCAGATTGAGGCTGCGAGAGCCCTTGTGTTTCAGAGGAGGGTGGATTTATTTCCCTACAACTCGTGGAAGGGTACGAGTTGGTGGGCACCGAGAAGTGCCGAAAGTATTAAGAGTTGGCAAAACATGAGATTAGAGCACCTTTCTGCAGAAGGCGCACCTGTTGCCCGCTGCTCGGCTGTATTGTCTGCGAAAGGAAAGAGGGCAACGCCTCACTCTTTGACTTTTAGGGTCCCTGAAAGGCTGGGTCACTGTCTATCTCCTCCCTTCTCCTCCCCTCCGCTCTTTACGCATCACGTCCTACCTCGCACGTGGGCACTGCAAGGAAAGAAGGGAACAGAGAAAATAGGCCCTACCCACTCCCTTCCACCTTGGACTCATGTTGGGGGGGCGGGGGGGAGGGGAGAGAGACAATGCTAGAGGAGGAGGAGGCCAGGGACCAGAGAGGAAAAGGGGGATGCACTGGGCTAGGGAAATCCCACCTCAGTCGCCTGAGCCCTCTGAGCGTCTCGTGTCATGGGACATCTGTACGCGCTTCCGCTAATGGGGGTGACAATTGTGGGCGGGTGAGGTCAGGGCGCTGCCAGGCACACCCCATCCCGTGCGATTCCAGGTGCTAGCTACCTGGCCCACGCTAGCGTTCTCTTCTGCCCGGGTTTTTGTTGCACCCTCCCCCACGTGTGAGCTGCCGGGCGACGGCGGTGGCGCGGGGGTTTGGGGGAGGGTGAGGTGAGATGTCGCGGCGCTGTGGGCTGCGCGGACCTGAGTGGAGAGGTCACACCTCTTTCGGAAAAAAATAAAAAATAAAAACCCCAAGCTGGCTAGCAAGGTGAACCCAGAACGGTTCCCACCTTAAAATCGGCCCTGCTCGTGACGTCAGGTCGGAAATATACCAAAGCGAGCGCCGGCCAGGAGTCCGGGGAGCGCGGCGGCGCGGCGATTGGGCGGCGGACCGCTGACGCGCGCTGACGCGCGGAGACTTTAGGTGCATGTTGGCAGCGGCAGCGCGAGCCACATAAACAAAGGCACATTGGCGGCCAGGGCCAGTCCGCCGGCGGCTCGCGCAAAGCTCCGCGATCCCGCTCGCCAGCCCAGCCGGCCGCCTTCCCCTGCTCCCTCCCTGCTCTCTGCGTCTCGACTCCCTTCGCCCCTCTCACCCACCCTCCGCGACCCTGCCACCCGGACTCCCACAGGGAACTACACTTCGGCCGAGTTGAATGAATGAAGAGAGACGCGGAGAACTCCTCAGTGAGTAGCTACAGCCCGTGCAGCTCGCGTTCTTTTATCCTTCTTTCTTCTTTTGCACGTCTCTTCTTTCCACATGTGTGGTACAGGTCCTCTGGAAGTGGGCGCCAGAGGCGCGGAGCGCGAGTGGGGCCGGAGGATGGGGAGTAGGTTCGCGCAGCTACAGAGGGCATTTGTCCGAACTCCAGTTTTGGCACTAGGGGGGAGTTGGCACCCAACAGAGGCTTCCAGGCTCCTCATTGGTCGACGTGGAAGGGAGAGTTGCATAGTTTGGGGAGCTGAGGGCTTGCCCGCGGAAATATGCACAAAGTTTGCTCTTAGCGCGGAATTGATTGTGGCCTTTGGACACGGAGACTCCAAGTCTTGTGTATACGAGGGGCCTGGACCCTGCCCACAAAGTGACAGGAAGAGAGAAAGTTCCTCAGTTTATGTGTTGCTTGGGAACTGTGTCACCGCGGCTGGCCAGCGTGCCAGTGTTTCCTGGGTATTGTTGAGTAAGGGAGGGGGTGTTGGTAGAGTGTCCTGTTACTAAGTTGCCTGAAATTTCTGGTTTTGACATATGCCGCTCGTGTGTGTGTGTGTGTGTGTGTGTGAGTGTGTCAGAGAAAGACAGAGACAGAGAGAATATGTAAAGAGTACAGTTATGAAGCTGCCAAGTTATCAGGGGGTTAATATCCAGCACAGGCATATCTCTCAAGGGCTGTGGGGGTCAAGCTTCTCCTTTCTTTCTACTTTTTTTGGTTAACCTCCCTCTCCTATGAAGCAAGATTATGGAGGGGGGGAGGACAACAGAAGGAATGGATGTTTGGCTTTCTTTTTCATTAGTAATAAGATTGTCTATGCTCTAGAATGCCTTCCAAGTGGGAACATCTGAAAATTACTAGGACACAAGAATGCCTTCTTCCAGAAAGGAGGCAGATTGTGGAAGGCTCTATAGGGAAGGTGTTCAGCTTGCTGTGTTGGGAAGCGCTTCTAACGTTGGTGCCAATACCAGATAAACAGTATTTCCCTCCCTCTGCAATTGATCTAAGATGTTCCTGGAAAAGCAGGGTCTCCTCTTCCCACCCTTTGACTATTAAAGATGTTGAAAGGCAAGTTTCCTGGAAAAGTGAATACCAGTTCACCTGTATCCCCAATCCCAGTGCTCTGTCAAAAGCACTTAGGAAATCCAGATGCTTCCATTCAGATTGCCTTCAGGGCTGCCCAGGCCTTGCTAACATTTTGTAACCCGTGGGGGTGGAGGGAGAGATTGTTTTCTCATTTTATATTCTTGACTTCTACTTTCTTTCCCCTCCCAAAAGAAAAGCCAATTTCACCACAGAAAAAAAAATTCAAGAGAAGGTTCCAGTGTTGTATTTTATTAGACTCTAGTTGTTTCTTATTCAAGTCTGAATTAAACTAAAATGGAAATGACACTCCCCTAGCATCCCTATACTCACATCCTAGCAAAGGGGCCAATTTATTACATAAGTATTAAATAAGTACATGGAATACCTTTTCTCCCAGAACCCTCTCTCTGCAAGGATTTACACAGTGCAATGAATGGCATTTTCTGTTGTTTCCAGGCATCTCTTTTACACAGTCATCTTAACTGCTAAGTTTGGTAAAGGCTACACACTCAATTCCCAATGAAACAGTCAAGGAGGGCATAGAAGGGCCTGCCTGGTGAATCTACAGATGTCCAGCTGAATCAGTCTGGAAAGTCACTCTGAAGCTTCCTGTGTCTGTATTGCAGGGAAGAGATCTGACAGGCTGGACTCAACATTGCTTTTGTAAAAATCTTGGAAACTTTATCCTTCATTGAATTACGACACTGTCCACCTTTAATTTCTTCCAAAACGCCTGTAACTCGGCTGAAGGTTAGTGTAACTTCCTTTCTTTCTTTCCCTCCCCCCAGTTCCCTAAACATCAAGAAACAGGGCAATGCGATCTTCCTCAGCAAACCCTGTAACTTAAGATTTTCCCGACCCATCGCCTTCGGGAACAACTTTCTCATTGTGCAATTCAACTTCATTTCTAGAATGAGCTGGTTGAACCCGAGCTTCAGAGAAAAGGCTCATTTGAGCGCGATTGTCCGTGAAAGGGGATGAAGGGGGAGGTGTTCGGAAATATCCGGGAATGGAGACCCTCAGTGGCTTTCTAGCTCGGGGTCTTTATGTGATCAGCTTGTCCATGCCCTGCACTGTGTTGTTCCGCAGCAATATTCGCTCTCTCCGCCCTTCCTCTCGCGCCCGTTTGACAGCCGCGGGCTGCCGGTGTAGCTCCAGGTGTACCCGAGCCCGGGAGAAAGTGTTCAGTTGACCAGGCTGAGTGTATATTACCCTGTTTCATTTCCAGCCATGCCTTGTGTTCAGGCGCAGTATGGGTCCTCGCCTCAAGGAGCCAGCCCCGCTTCTCAGAGCTACAGTTACCACTCTTCGGGAGAATACAGCTCCGATTTCTTAACTCCAGAGTTTGTCAAGTTTAGCATGGACCTCACCAACACTGAAATCACTGCCACCACTTCTCTCCCCAGCTTCAGTACCTTTATGGACAACTACACCACAGGCTACGACGTCAAGCCACCTTGCTTGTACCAAATGCCCCTGTCCGGACAGCAGTCCTCCATTAAGGTAGAAGACATTCAGATGCACAACTACCAGCAACACAGCCACCTGCCCCCCCAGTCCGAGGAGATGATGCCGCACTCCGGGTCGGTTTACTACAAGCCCTCCTCGCCCCCGACACCCACCACCCCGGGCTTCCAGGTGCAGCACAGCCCCATGTGGGACGACCCAGGCTCCCTCCACAACTTCCACCAGAACTACGTGGCCACCACGCACATGATCGAGCAGAGGAAAACGCCCGTCTCCCGCCTCTCCCTCTTCTCCTTTAAGCAGTCACCCCCAGGCACCCCCGTGTCTAGTTGCCAGATGCGCTTCGACGGGCCCCTGCACGTCCCCATGAACCCGGAGCCGTCGGGCAGCCACCACGTGGTGGACGGGCAGACCTTTGCTGTGCCCAATCCCATCCGAAAGCCCGCGTCCATGGGCTTCCCAGGCCTGCAGATCGGCCACGCGTCACAGCTGCTCGACACGCAGGTGCCCTCGCCGCCGTCGCGGGGCTCCCCCTCCAACGAGGGGCTGTGCGCCGTGTGCGGCGACAATGCAGCCTGCCAGCACTACGGCGTGCGCACATGTGAAGGTTGCAAAGGTTTCTTTAAGGTGAGCAAGAACGGGGGCAGAGGAGGCAGGTAGGGGCCCCCTAGTGCCCGGAGCCTTGGAGTGTGCGCTCCGCCTTAGTGCAAGCATCACAGCCCCAGCTCATCCCGGACGGTCCAACTCCCGGGGTGCGCCGAGGCTGCCCTGTAGCCGCCCACGGGCTGCGGCGGGGCTTCTGGGTGCCTGAGGAAGGGAAGTAGGAAGACCGGGAGACCCGGAGTCGCATCCCCCTCGCGCAGCAGACCCGGCAGGCCCCCGCCCGAAGTTGCTGGAGCCGGAGTTGGAAGAGGGTCATTTGCATGTGCTAGGAGCTGTCTTCTCTGTTCAGATTGAAATTGGTTAGGACAGAGAACCGTGTCTGAGCTAACCAAGTGGAACAGAATTCCCTATGGTCAAATTAAGTGATCTCTTTATTTCGCCATCCTGATTGAATAATCTTATCATTTTAAATAGAGAAGGTCTCCAAGGAATGTAAATAATATGAATGCCCACGGTTTTGTATTTACTGAGCGTCTCCTTCTCCTTCTCTTGGCATATAAAACACAGCAAGGAGCGGCAAGGTTAGCTCAAATGTTAACGCTATCAATTTTCTTCTGTTAAATGCCCTGGGGGAGGAAAAAGAAAAGAAAGAGAAAGAAAAGGAAAAGGAAAAAAATAAAAAAGAGTTGCGTGTATGTATTTGTTTGTGGGGAGGGAGTGTAGATCCAGCCGTTCAGAAATTGTCTCTGGATTCCCTGGGTTGCTGGACTTTCAAGAAAAAAACATAATAATTTTCGGCCTATATTGTCTCCTTTTGCAGCGCACGGTGCAAAAAAACGCAAAATACGTGTGTTTAGCAAATAAAAACTGCCCAGTGGACAAGCGGCGCCGGAATCGCTGTCAGTACTGCCGGTTTCAGAAGTGCCTGGCTGTTGGGATGGTGAAAGAAGGTAGGTCGGGGCAGCAGCCCACTCCCCGGTCTGCGGCCTTGGGAAACCGCTGCTCCTACCCCAGCCCACTTTCCACTTCCCAGAGCCGGGGTCTCCCGGACCCCCCACCCGCGTCTGGCCTCCACGATCCGGCAGCTGCCTGCTTGCCCATCCTGCCCTGGAGAAAGCCGCCAGGCCCTACTTTCCTTTAACTATACGGCCTATTTGGAAGAAGACAGACAACAACCCTGCATTTTTTATGTTTCTCATCAGTAAAGGCTTTACAAGCAGGGGGGCCCTGGGCCGCCCGGCCGGGCGCCCCGCGGCTGCGACCTTCCCCCGGGAGGGGCCGAGGCAGCAGCTGGGTCCTGCTTGGGAGAGCGGCGCTAACCCGGCTGTTCCTTTGCAGTGGTTCGCACCGACAGTTTAAAAGGCCGGAGAGGTCGTTTACCCTCGAAACCGAAGAGCCCACAGGAGCCCTCTCCCCCCTCCCCCCCGGTGAGTCTGATCAGTGCCCTCGTCAGGGCCCATGTCGACTCCAACCCGGCTATGACCAGCCTGGACTATTCCAGGGTAAGAAGCTGGCGGGGGTATCATGTGGACAAACCAGCAGATGGGCAGGACCCCTCCCCACATCCATCACTAACCCCCAGACTCAAGGGATAAAGGAGGCAAGACAGGCTGTGGCTTCACAGCTCTGGGCAGAGCCACAGGAGATGGACAGACAAACCATGTTGCTGGGGGTGTAGACAGGAGGACAGGGCAGAGGAAGGAAGAGAAGACCATCCCAGTGGTCAAATCTCTGCGAGCCTCCCATTCCCACTACCACCATACATACACATACTCACACGCGAATGCCTCTAATGCCGGAACCAGAGGGGGTGCAAAATGCCCCCACTTGGATTTTATCCCAGATCTTCCGGCGATGTTTTAATCCTCATCCTCTCTGGCTCTGTCAGGGTTGGGGATGTCTGCTTAGGGGTCGGGGAAGGGAAAGAGAGGGTATAAGGAATGGCAGTGGGGTGGGGGATCAAGTGGTCAGATTCCTTTCTTACCCCAGCTGTGAGGAATTTGTGGGCTTTAATTGGAGGGAGTATGTCAGGCAATTTTATTAAGATTTGCAAAGGTCTCTGCTCGAGACCCACTCTGGGACTGGCATGAATACTAACGTGTCAATTGTTTTGTGGAGATAAGAGTGAACGTTTCCCAGGGCTGGATGGCACTGTATTTAGTCTGTATGGAAATGGTAATTTACATATTTAAAGCATCGACCTCATAGCACCATCCCTAATTGAATTAATTGCCCCGGAACATCTAATTTCCTTACTGGTCAGAGAAAGGTTTAATTGTTATAAAAACCTGGCTCCCCTACTAGAAACGGGGTTAGCAATTTCACGGGTTATATATTTTAGAGAACCTCATTAAGTGCCTTTTAAAATGAAATTCCAGTTCCAGGCGAACCCTGACTATCAGATGAGTGGAGATGACACCCAGCATATCCAGCAATTCTATGATCTCCTGACTGGCTCCATGGAGATCATCAGGGGCTGGGCGGAGAAGATCCCGGGTTTCGCTGACCTGCCCAAAGCCGACCAGGATCTGCTTTTCGAGTCGGCTTTCTTAGAACTGTTTGTGCTGCGATTAGCGTACAGGTAATGAAGGAGGCAGTCGAGGGAGGCTGGGAAAGGAAGAAGAGAGGAATCAAGAAAGGAAAAGAAAGAGGAAAAAGGAAATGAAAGGGGGGAAAGAGGAAAGGACAGAATAGGAAATGACAGAGGGAAAAAGGAAGGAAAGGCTAGTAGACAAAAGGAAGAGAAGGGAAGGAGTGAGCCCAGAAGCCTTGGAGGAATGGAATGGAGGTGGGATAGGGGGCGTTCTTGATTGTTATGAAATTAAACCCTTTCAAGGTCTGCTGGTCTACATTTTATTAACTCTTCGGTAATTAGGTGCCTCTTAAATCCCTCATTTATTGCTCTTCAAGTAATTAGTTGTTTAGCTTTTCTCTCTTTCTTTTTCTCCCCTCTCTCTCTTTGGTATTAATTGCAGGTCCAACCCAGTGGAGGGTAAACTCATCTTTTGCAATGGGGTGGTCTTGCACAGGTTGCAATGCGTTCGTGGCTTTGGGGAATGGATTGATTCCATTGTTGAATTCTCCTCCAACTTGCAGAATATGAACATCGACATTTCTGCCTTCTCCTGCATTGCTGCCCTGGCTATGGTCACAGGTCAGTACCGCAGCCACAGGGCACTTCTCCTCCAGAACTGCCCAGGGAGATTTCTCCCAGTTTTCCCTTATCACCAATCCTCCCTGGTCCTGCCAGCTAGCTAACTGCTTTGTGCATTCCTCTTTTATTTTTGATTATGTTTTCTGCAGAGAGACACGGGCTCAAGGAACCCAAGAGAGTGGAAGAACTGCAAAACAAGATTGTAAATTGTCTCAAAGACCACGTGACTTTCAATAATGGGGGGTTGAACCGCCCCAACTATTTGTCCAAACTGTTGGGGAAGCTCCCAGAACTCCGTACCCTTTGCACACAGGGGCTACAGCGCATTTTCTACCTGAAACTGGAAGACTTGGTACCACCGCCAGCAATAATTGACAAACTTTTCCTGGACACTCTACCTTTCTAAGACCTCCTCCCATGCACTTCAAAGGAACTGGAAAGAAACCTAAGACTGTCCAGAGGGGGCAAGTCACAAGGGCAGAGATATCCCCCTGAGCTGCCTCAGCTCTAGCCAGCCCCCACCCCTTCCATAAAACCCCCAGCTCCTTGATCCCTAATGAAAAAAACAAAAACTGTTGCTATTTCCTAACCTGCAGGCAGAACCTGAAAGGGCATTTTGGCTCCCGGGCATCCTGGATTTAGAACACGGACTACACACAATACAGTGGTATAAACTTTTTATTATGAGTTTCAAAATCAGTTTATTGTTCAGAAGAAAGATTTCTAATGTATGATGGGAAATGTTTGGCCATGTTTGATTGTTGCAGTTAAAACAAATGTAATACACACACAGAGACACACACACACATCGTAAGGGGACCCACAAATATTGCCCTTTAAAAGACTTCAAAGTTTTCTGCTGTAAAGAAAGCTGTAATATATAGTAAAACTAAATGTTGCGTGGGTGGCATGAGTTGAAGAAGGCAAAGGCTTGTAAATTTACCCAATGCAGTTTGGCTTTTTAAATTATTTTGTGCCTATTTATGAATAAAATTCTAAAAGATAAGTGTGTTTGCAAAAAAAAAAAATAAACTACACAAAAAAGGGACAAGCATGTTGATTCTAGGTTGAAAATGTTATAGGCACTTGCTACTTCAGTAATGTCTATATTATATAAATAGTATTTCAGACACTATGTAGTCTGTTAGATTTTATAAAGATTGGTAGTTATCTGAGCTTAAACATTTTCTCAATTGTAAAATAGATGGGCACAAGTATTACACATCAGAAAATCCTGACAAAAGGGACACATAGTGTTTGTAACACCGTCCAACATTCCTTGTTTGTAAGTGTTGTATGTACTGTTGATGTTGATAAAAGAAAGTTTATATCTTGATTATTTTGTTGTCTAAAGCTAAACAAAACTTGCATGCAGCAGCTTTTGACTGTTTCCAGAGTGCTTATAATATACATAACTCCCTGGAAATTACTGAGCACTTTGAATTTTTTTGTTTTTTTTTAATGTCTAAAATTGTCAGTTAATATATTATTTTATGTTCGAGTAAGAATTTTAATATTGCCATCTTCTGTAGTATTTTTCTTTGTATATTTCCAGTATGGCACATGATATGAGTCACTGCCTTTTTTTCTATGGTGTATGACAGTTAGAGACGCTGATTTTTTTTTTCTGATAAATTCTTTCTTTGAGAAAGACAATTTTAATGTTTACAACAATAAACTATGTAAATGAACAGAATTTTGTCTTCTTTCTGGGTCAGGAAAAAACGATGACTAAACAGCAATATACAACAGAGTTGAAGATTGATTTGGGATAGGTCACTTATTCAACATCTGAGTTTCAAACTGACAGCCTAGATCTATTCTGGCAAAAGGAACTGGAGAATTGAACTAATTATCCAGAGAATTCAGTACAATATTTTTCTTTAGGATTTTCCAGTGGAGGAACCTACATTGATCAGAATCAACTGAGAATATCTTAACTCTTTTGTTAACTTTGCTAGTAAGTGCAGCTTTCAGAAGAGAAGTTCAGGAGACCAAATAGATTTTGAACTTTTGCAAGATCCAAAGTTCTGTCAAGTTTCTATTTTGCACAATGTTTAGAAAGAATCTTTTTAAGACTCAGGAAGTCAACATGGATTTGAGGTGTATTGTACCTAATCTCTGATTTTTTCCAATTCCTCTACTTACTACTGTTGTCAAGGGTCTTGGTGGAAGGGCCAAGCATTTCCGGCCCTTTGGGCCTTGGGTCAGAGGTCTTTGGCATTGAACAGAACTCCGTAGGGGCATTTCTTACAACTTTTTGTTTTCTTCCTTCAGTGGATAGTGATGAAGTTCAATTTGTAGTTTTAGAATAATATTTCTGCCTTAAGTTTCTCAGATAAATGATAAAATATCCATTTGTCAGGTCCTGCTTCTGGCATGAGCTATACCACAGCCTCTAGGATTCCACCCAGCACCAACTTTTAGCAAAAGAAAGTAACTAATGCTATAGAAACCAGTTACGGTTTGAGCTTCCGCTCAGTGACCGGGTCTTTGGGCGGTCAAGGTCCCTCGAGTTTCGCCTCAGGCCAGCTGTGAATTCATTGGGAGCACAAGATGGGGATGGTCTTTCTGGATAACCCTGGTGAATTACAGGTGGCCTCTGAGTCACTGAAATTTACAGAGAATGTTATTGTTTTTAAAATGAAGAGTTAGAACAGTACATTGCCACAAGAGTTCTCAGGTTACTATTTTTACTTTGCCTTTTCCTCCTCTTTTTTTCAAGACATGTTTCGTGGGTCGGGAAAAAGAGAGAAGGCAGGTCTCCGTGGTAATTTAAGATTATTTTTACAAGATGCATTTTTCTGCAGGTAACTCTGAGGGGCAAAAGTGTGTGGCTACATAAGAGATTAAATAAGAAGCGAAATGTCCAATTTCCTGGCTTTCTTGAAAAGATGGGGCTTGCCATTTCCTTTTATTTTCACAACTTCTGCCCAACCAAAGCCGCACACTAATAAGTGGAGAAAAAGAAAGCTCTTTAGAGACGCTGGGAGTCTGCAGAGCCGTCAGCGCTCATCTCCCAGGTGTCTGCAGCCCCGAGACAATTACATTCCGACTCAGAATCTCCGAGAGTTGAACCCAGAAACGAACTCTGTTGCCGGTTCTCCGTTAAGAAGCGGCTGTGCATCACCCGAGGCCAATGAAGTGTCAGGTAGTGCGCCTCCCGAGAATTTGGGGTGAAAGGAGGGAGGGATGACTCTCCCCCACGCCCGCGTGCCGATTCCACCGGCTCTGCGTACATTCAGTTGTAATTCTTTAAGTTGCAAAGTGGCTAGTGCTTTTTTTCTGCTTCACAGTTACCGAGTTAATTTCCAACTCCCGGCTGCGCACCGGGTCGTGCGGGGAAAGAGCCTCGCACGCATCTCTGCGGCGTCTCCCGAGATCCGTGTGGCTGAGGACTTTTCCTGTCCTAGTCTTTCTAGAAGTAAAGCCCAGAGAAAGCAACAGACATGCTGCATTGCAAAAGCCAGACGTTGCCTGGAACTTTTTTAGAAAGAGATTAAAACTTTACAGTGGAGACTTCATATCGCCTTCCTCTCCCAAAGTCCCCTTAAGAATTTCAGTTATTGTGTATCGTTCCAGCTATGGAAAATACATAATCGTTGTTCTGAAGACACGACCATACGCTTCTCAGCTCTGACAGAAGGTCACATTTTAGTCTCCAAGGTGTCTAAACCCACTTTGAGTGGTTGCTTAGAACGCCCTGACTTTATGGAGAGATGCCCTTAATTCAAAACGCCGGTAGCAGCGCTACTGCCTGCTACTTGGTGTGTTCCGCTTCGCCGTCCACGGGACCGCCGCAGTCTCTAGTGCCCAGGCGGCCCTCGCCTCGACCCGCAGCTTTCGGAGAGAGCGAGCGAGCAAGCGAGAGAGAGTTCAAATTTCTGGTCTTGATTCTAACAAGAGAGATACGCCTGGCCCAGGGAGCTGATAACATCTCTCATTGACAGCGGCACGCAAAGACCTTATCTTGAGTATTTCTTTTTGTTGCTTGCCTCCATCTCTGGAGAGTTTGGGTGCCCCTTCCACTAAAAATACTGATCATAAGTCTTACGGGACACTGGTTCTAGCGTGCAAGGAGCCCGACAAAGAGAAACAGATATTCTTGCCAACTTAGAATGTCACTTGAAGGTTCAATTTTACTTTGCGTTGAGAATCTCTTGACTTTGTCGGTGTCAGTGTGTCAACACGAATATCCAATTATCTAAATTATATTCTAAATCTAGGCGTCGGCAGTGAATACTTCCAAGATATAAACAGGTCTGTGAGGGAAAAGTTTTATTTCATTGTAATATTTTGATCACAGAGTTTCCCAGTACAGGATACACGTCCATCCCGCCAGGCCGTATACAGGGTGGCGACACCAGAGCACTTCTAGGCATTGCGCGTGTTGCGCGTCTTCGCGCCACCAGCTCGCTGCCTAGCTCCGCTCACACGTCCGTTTCCTTTTTTATCCGCGGCGCGGCAGCGCGGAGGTGGCTGCGGAGAGTAAGGGCTGGGGGTCTCCCGGGCCCGCCTCGCCTCTCTCGGTGAAAGAGGGGCGGGTCTCGAGGCCGCGAGTGCCCGCGGCCACCTCAAAATGAAGACAAGTTCTATGGAGGCGGGAGGGCAAAAGAGAGTAGCTAGTTCTGCGGATTCAGAAACTTTTTTCAGTATTATTTTTACGCTTGAACAGAGGTCTGAGAGTGAGTATCTCGAAGACATCCTCTTTTCCCCACCTGTCTCCACTACCCGGGAACAAGAACTGTCGCTTCGTGGGTGTTGCTGGGATTTTCTCAGCCATCCAAGCTGCCCAGGCACCCCGCAAGAGGGGACTTGACTCAATTTTAAAGTCCCAAGGAGGAGGGATGGGGTTGGGGTGCCAGCTGACGCCCAGTCATCCCTCCTTCTCCACAGGTCACAGCTACGACTAAAAAGAGCGCACCCGGCTGCAACAATCTCCGGGAAAGGTTCCGCTTAGATCGGTGAATCTGACAGAACTCGAACCAGAGCAATCACGTTTCGCATAGATGTATCTTTTGGGTTCAGTTTATACTGGTTGACTTCGTTGGTAAAGCAAGACATGAATTCCAATCAAGGCCATCATTTTTTAGTAATTCGTTCTTAATAATAAAAGAAACACACAAAAATCCGATTTTCATTTTTTACTTTTTAATCTTACTAGAAACCCCAAAGTGGATAATACACGTAACTGTTTAGGATGGCGAGGCTGTCATTTGAAGCCATTTTCCCTTGGTATGTTTGCTGAGCACGACTGGAAACGACCGCTGGGGTCCGCAAGGTCTTTCCTCCGACTTTGATTTTGTGTTTCCTTAGGGAAAGTCCTGCTTCCGTCGGAGGGCGCCTCCTGGAGCGGCCCTGGAGCAGGAATGCAGGGCCCCACCCCTCGCCCGGGGCGTGAGGCGGAGAGCCGCACCCCCGGTCCCTAGCTGCGACGTACGCTTCGGGCCCAACAGACAGCGGCGGACGCGAACGCCGGAGAGCGGGCCTCTAGCCGCTCACTCCCCGCCCCACGCCTGCTCTCTAGGCCCCCCTCCCAGCGTAGTCTGATTTTGAGGCCCCAGGATTACTGAAGAGGCCATGTGTCTGTTTGTGGTTCCGCCGGGGCGACTGTGGAGACGCAAGCGCTCCTGCTCTGCCCACTGCGTTTTGCAGACTTAAGAGTTTGACTCTGCAGGTTGCTCCAGGAGACTTTGCAGTGAGCCCGGGAGCAATTAGGACGAACTCGCCCGAGTTAACTCTCTGTTTCCTCCGTTTCCTGCCCTGCCCTTCCCAGCTGCTCCCCACTTCTTTCCCAGCTGTTTCATGTCCCCCAGAGCGGGAGGCCGCAACAGGTTCCAGTCGCCGCGTGGCGAGGTCCGGTGCGTCAGGGCGCGAGCATTTGCGGCCGAGCGCGCCCCGGGCTTATCCCTGCACCCAACGATCAGTGCTCAGTCTTGGGTCTTCGCGGAGCTATGAGCGGGGCCGGTGCGTCTATCCGCACCACACTGGGGAAAACCCTTTTTTCTAGTTGTGGGGGCGCACAAAGGGGCGGAGCAGAAGCGCCAGGGCGCCAGTCGCAAGTGGGTCCGCACCGCGGCTAAGACCGGGAGAGGAGCCCACACACCCATGCCACAGGCCTGCCCAGCACGTGTGCGCTCGACTCCGAAGCTCCGAGGAGAGATCGCGCGCATCCTGGCTCTGCTTTCAGGTCTCCTCGCAATCCATGTTACAGCCCTAGGCCCGCGCGCCAGAGGCAGCGCCGGTCAGGTGGCCAGATGAGTGCTGCGCCGGGTTGGGCCGAGGTATAGCAGTGCGCCTGTCCTCCTGCCGCCGCGCGCGCCCCTTCCTCTCTGGAAGACGCCGACTGCGGGCGTCTGGCTGTTCTCTTCTCGGCTTAGCCGGGCCCTGTTTTCAGTGCTTAGCTGGAATGGGCATCCTCGGAGAGATTGGCTTCCAACGCTTTGCTCCGCGTTTCTTCTTCCCCCTCTTGATCTCTCTTACTACTATTTCTTTGTATTTCTATCGACACTTGTGTTTAGAGAAACTAGGATTTCCGGGATATGCGCCACCTGTCGTAACAGATACAGTGCCCGAGTTTCTGTTAGAGACTTCCCCGGGGCAGTAGATAGTGGTCGAGGGGCTGCTGCACGTGTACTCCATCGGGTACTAGAGGGACTTCCAGAGGGACTGAGCCCGCTAAGATTTTCTGCCTCT